CCCCCCCCCCCTTGTACTCACTGCTCTGCGAAGAGCCTTTGGGCTTCCCGATGTACTTGAGGATAGGGTTTCGCCTCTTGTCCTCCAAGGCTTCCTTGTCTTTCTTGGAATTGCTGCTCTGTTGGGACAGGAGACACCAGCTTTGGAGAAGGTCCCAATCCCCAGACTTAGCCACTCATCCCTGCCACTGCCCCCCAGACCCGCCCTGAACGGCTAACTGCAAAGCAGACTCCTGCTTGCTCCCGAACCAGCACACGTGCGCCCGGGCCGGGTTTGAGCTCGTCTGTGGGTTCTCACGGACTCCCCATGCAAAGGCAGCGAGGGTCAGGCGCAGTCGTGAGTGGCTTTCCCGGGTTGGCCTCATGCAGAGACCCGCACCAGAGGACTCTTGTCCAGGTAGTTCTGTCACCTTCTTGGTCTTTGGGAAGAAGGGCAGCCACTTGTCCTTGTCAGGAGCTGCCTGAGCCTTTTCGGCTGCGCCGGAAGGCCGTGCCTCTCGAAGACGGAGCCCGGCGTGGCTCATGTAGGTATTGAGGGCGAAGTCCATGGGGGCGCTGTGAGACGGGAAGCAGAGTGGTCAGTCAGAAAGCTCGAGCTGTGCCCGCCAACAGGCGGAAGGGCCAGAACCCCGCTCCGAACAATCTCCAAACTACCACCCAGGGGGGTGACAAAGGGAGAGTTCTGGGTCAGGGTGTTTGGAAGGAGCCCTGGAATTCTCAAGGGGGGGCACAGAAGGACTCTTGGCTAGCAGGAGTCCTGGGAGAGACCTAATTCTCTCCCTAAGCAGAACTCTTCCTGAAGGGGGGAGAGCGGCCAGCAGAAGGATGTGGCCGGTCCCTACAACGTAAGCCAACAAGCCGGCAGGCCTGGAACCGACTGAGGCCCACGGCCACGGTCCTCGGGCATCCACGTGCGGTGGGGTGGCAGGGAAAAGGGGAGAAATGCTGGCCTGCCTCTGCCTTCACCACCTTCCCGGCCCTGGCACTGAGAGAGAGATGGAACGGAGCCGCCACGGGCCACACGTGGAACCGTCCAGAGCTGTGTCTGGAAGCGGATCTGGCCCTGGATTCAGGAGGCAGGTCGGGCACTCTGGGCACTCAGTGCAGCAGGGGCTCCGGCCCCTCCTCCACAACCGCCCTGGCCTGCCTTCCTCCAGCTCAAGCGTGCGCACACTCTTCGATGCTGGCTGCTTGAGGAGCGGACACGCATACCGGCTGCGGAAACCCCATAACCTGTGCCAGAGAGGAGAGGCGTCGCGCCCCGGCTCCCCGACAAGGGCTGCTGACTCGGACCGGTCCAGTCACCAGCACTTCACGGTGGCTCAGAGGTGAAAGCCGGAGGGAGACGCAGAGCTAAGGCGGAGGTGGGGAGGCCGGCTATGTGCACGGTGGGGTGAGGGCAGACCCTTGCCCCAGGCGGCGGCCCCAAGCGGCAGGGGCCTGGACCTCACAAGCCGCTGTTACGGTTACGCGACACCTGGGGCCATGGCTGGACACACTGTGACCTCGATGCTCAGGGCGCCCTGTGTCCAGAAGGATGGCAAACGCACCGCACACTCACTCACCTCCTGTCCTCCTCGTACTTGGACCTGGAACAAAAGGAAGGAGCCATGACGCGCACGTACGGCACAGGCGTGTTGGCCGCGCAGACACAGAGGACGAGGGCGGTGGGGGCGGGGAGGCCAGACCTCGACTCCGGTCTCAGCTCTGAGCCCACGTGGGGCTCAGGAGGCGAGAGCGCTCACCCCCTCGGGGGCCTCGGCACAGGGACTGAGAGGTCCTTCCCGCTGAAGGGGGACGTGGCCAGCACTGTGACGTGATCACGGAGGAAGGGGCCCGTCCTCGCCCAGCCAAACTCGACTGAAGGGCTGGGCTGACGTAGAACTGGAGGAGGGCGGGTGGCCCCTCGAGAGCCGACCCAGAGAGACCTTCCCACACGGCGGTGGAGGCAGCAACGACCAGCTGAGGGGGCACGATGGGCCAGGCACTATTCTAAGCTATTCACAAGCTGATTGAGATCTCAAAGTGCCCGGTGAGGAGGTGTTAGATCTCCATCAAGTGAGGCTGAAGCTTCCCGTAGAGACCACCCTGAGCGGGGTGCCCACTGTAACAGGCCAGGGAAACTGAGGCCCACAAAGATCCAGGGCTTGGCTGAAGGTCAGGGGGTTATTCCCAGGAATATGCCCCTGTGTGATGTCTGCAGTCCTGTCTCTCCTCTGCCAGACTTAGCCTGCGGCCGCACCTCCAGGGTGACGTCTAATACAGACCTCAGACTCAACATGCCCACCTCGGACTGCCCCCCACACAGCCGCCCTGATCCCGGCTGATGGCACCTCGTCCTTTCTGCCGTGTAGGCACAAACCATGGGGTCTTCCCCGACCCACACTCAGTTTTTAGGGGATGCCCATTTGCTCTACTGTTAGGATACATGTGGGACACCGACCGCGTCTCACCGCGTGCCCCAGCCCTGCCCGGTCCAAGCCCCACCGCGTGGGTTCCCGTGCGGCCCCTCCCCGCCACGGACAGGGAAAACCAGAGGCCGCACAACCGTCCTCAGGCTCTGCGGCTGCCCTCCCGTCACCTCTCTGACTTCAGCACCCACCTTCTCTATCTGCTCTGGTCTCCGCTGCTCACCACACGTCAAGCACGTGCCTACTTTGCCCTGCCTCTTCCCCCCAGCGGTCTTCAAGGATGACGGTCCCACTTTCTTCAGTTGCTTAAATGTTACTTGGTGGGGGG